TTTCCTAAATTCTGTTAACTTAGAAATTTCCATTTAGATGAACTTTTGATTCAGATCAATCATGTGAATCTTTTTAGTTGCTGATAGTCCAACTCCACCGCCACCACCTCCACCAGATGACATTCCCATGTTTGATGACTCTCCACCTCCACCACCACCACCTCCTGTGGATTATGAAGATGAGGAGGCTGCAGTAGTTCAGTATAATGATCCTTATGCAGATGGGGATCCTGCTTGGGCCCCCAAGAATTATATTGAGAAAGGTAAGGTACAGTCATTGAATTGATGTGAAGGAAAATAACCGAATCACAAAAATTTAGAACTATAAAGAACATCTGGTCCAGTGTTTCTCAACCTTTTAAACTGCCTTACCAAACAAGATGATTGACTTAAACCTTACTTCCTAGGCTTTATATCATTCCCAGTGTACAGGGGCATGTTTTCTTTGTATTTTAAATTAAAATTGCAGATTTGCTTTCAAACTACAAATGCGTTCAGCTGAAGATTAACTTGCTGGACTGTATTTTATAGATGAAACAGCTAAGGCACAAAAATGGAGTTATATGTAATTAGTAAAGATGTTTAAAGTTCTGTCAAGCTCTATTGATTAAAATAGAAATCTTTCATATCTAAATACAGACGGTCCCTGATTTATGATGGTTCAATTTAGGAGCCTTTTCAGCTTTATGATGGTACAAAAATGATATGCATTCAGTATGCTTCTCAACTTATGATGGTGCTTTGTCTGGTTAAACCTGTTATAAAGAAAAAATATAAGTTATAAGTTGAAAATATACTTTCAATTTACAGTATTTTCCATGAAACAGTGGGGTTTATTGGGACATAACCCAATCGGATGTAAGTGGAGGAACATCTGTCTTTAAAAATATATTGGTACTATCATGAGGAAAGCCTCAATTAAGGTTTCAGATAGGTGATTTTATAAAAGAGAGGACAAATTACCAGGACTGTATTTTATGAAATTGTGAACTTCTCTAAAGTCTAATTTACCTGGAGTATCCAATATTCACTATAATTATCTATTAAGAAATATAGGTGGGGAAGAAACTCTGTTTCTAGAGTTTTTTTTCATTCAGTTCTGTGCTATTTAAAAATCTGTCTTTCAGTAGAAGTGGGAATCAATTAAAAATAAAATCTGTATTTCTATAGAGTTGTGAAAAATTCTTGTGATTTAATTGATGACTTTTGGTTGCCTTTGAAATATATTTCCTTCTATTGGCTTTAATTGGGTTAATGGACTTTAAGTAGCTGTAACTCTTTCGACCAGCAGCATTCTTTCCTGCCCAAGTTTTGGATATGTGGCAAAAGTAAATTTGTTTTCTTTTTTTTTTTCTTTTTTTGAGACAGAGTCTCACTCCATCACCAGGCGGCAGGCTGGAGTGCAGTGGCACCATCTCGGCTCACTGCAACCTCTGCCTCCCAGGTTCAAGCAATTCTCCTGCCTCAGCCTCCCGAGTAGCTGGGACTATAGGCATGCACCCCCATGCCCAGCTAATTTTTGTACTTTAGTGGAGACAGGGTTTCACTATGTTGGCTAGGTGGTCTTGATCTCTTGACCTTGTGAGCCACGGCACCAGGCCGATAATTTACATATTGTTAAGAAAGTCTTAAATATTCTACTTAAGATTCCCATGTACCTTCAAATAGGTGTTATTACTTACGAGGATGATAAACTTGAGTGGTCTTGAATCGAGATTTTACCTATAATTTGCTTATTTGGTAAAGCAAATTTAACTATGAAAATGGGACCATATTTATATAAGTTGACAAATTAGGAATGATATATTGGTTAATATACTTGATAGAAGAGCAGGATTAAAAAGTATCTTCCCAAGTTGGAATAATAATCCTAAACTAGGGGTGAGCACACTTTTTTGGGTACAAAGCCAGATAGTAAATATTTTAAATTTTGCTGGCTATACAGTCTCTGTCACAACTACTCAGTCCTGCTGTGGTAGTGTAAAAGCAGACATAGACAATAAATGAGTAAGTAGATGTGGCCCTCTTGCAATCAAACTTTATTTTCACAAAATGCAGTGGTTTGGATTTGTCCATAGGCCATTTTGTACATTTTAGATTGCTTTCTCTCTCTACAAGTTTGCAAAGGAAATGAATATAGGCTGTGCATCCCTATCTGAAAGCCCCAAATTTAAAATGCTCCAAAATCTGAAACTATTGAATGCCAACATGATGCCGCAAGTGGAAAATTGCACACCTGACCTCATGTGATGGGTCATGGTCAAAATGCAGGCGAATGACACAGTTGATTTAGTGTTCCCAGGGGAAGAATAAAATTACCTTCAGGCTATGTGTATGTGAAACAAAAATGAGTTTTGTGTTTAGACTTGGTTCCCACCTCCAAGATATCTCATTATATGTATGTAAAATTCTAAATCTGAAAAAATTCCCAAATCCAAAGGAGTTTTGATCCCAGGCATTCCAGATAAGGGTTACTCAACCTGTATCTTGAACTGAAAAGAATCACAGATACCACAGAATTGCAAAGTTCTCTAAGTATTAATTAAAATCCTTTAAGAGTAAGTAAATATTCCTTTTCAAGAAATCTGGGAGTAGTCCCACAAATTAGCATGGGTCCCTGAATAAGGAGGATGTGATTTACCTTCCAGTAACTGTGTATTTTCAAATTGGATAGCTTGGGTTGTTACATGCTACTGAATGGCTATGCAGCTTTCTTTGCCTTATAATTATCTTGAAAAGCTGTTCTTTGCATATGATAGGCACTTGGTAGATATTTGAATGAATTAAAACATCTAATAAATTTTAAAATTCAGAGAGCTTTCTTAAAGAGATTGACAGAACCTATTGGCCTCTTCAGTCTAATCAGATTGTCATTTGGTCCTAAGATTAAGCCAGTGATTTAAATACATGTTTGGCCACTGACATACTTATATTGATAAATATAAGAATTAAGAATCTTCATAAAAATAGTTGGTTTGCTGTGCTGTATATTTAATTGGCATTGTCTTAAAATTCAAGTAAATGTTGGATATAGTGCATTCATGTGATATTTCAACTTTTTTTTTCCCCCATAGTTGTTGCAATATATGATTATACAAAAGACAAGGATGATGAGCTGTCATTTATGGAGGGTGCAATCATTTATGTTATAAAGAAGAATGATGATGGCTGGTATGAAGGAGTCTGCAATCGAGTGACTGGTTTGTTCCCTGGGAACTATGTTGAATCAATCATGCACTATACTGATTAATTTTTTTTTTTTTTTTTTTTTTTTGCTTTTAAAGTAGATTCTTATTACTCAGTCATACTGTGGGACTATTATGGTTAACAGACCTGTCTTAATATGTTTTAAAATGTGCCCATATTTTCAGGACATGCTGTTTTATTGGTAAATTGAATGTCTACCTGTAAGCATAAATCTTTGAGGCAGTTTGTATATTGCTAAATAGCAGTTTATACAAGAAGCTGTCCATAACTGATTATGCTTATGTACTTACACATTTTTAACTTGATGACCAGCCTAAATATTCTGGGGAAATGGGGTATAATATTTAACGAATCATGATTCAGATTGTACCATTACATGTTTCAGTGCAGCATGGTTACTAACGCTATGTCAGACTAATATTAAAATCAGAAGATTTAAATGCTGGTGCTGGTCATACTTTTTTGGTTAGAATCTCTCATTTAAAAAAATACTGTTTGTTTAAAGCATGCATAAAAATTTATGTCTTGAAATATACTTAAAAATTCCAAGATGCTTCCAATTTGTGTAATACTTACCTGGAGGACTCGTACTTAGGTGTCTTAAAAATGAATTGAGTCTTCAAGGTCTCCATGTGAAACAAAGAAGCAAAAAGAGAATTATCTGTAATGTTGTAATTTGTACCTAAGTTTTTTAATGAGTGAAATTTGCATTATAAATTTTTTCCATTCATAAATAAGTGAACCAAAGGTTTTTGTCCTTTCCTTCATTGGTTTGCTTTAAAAAAAATAATAAAAGATGATGATTTATTGAAGAATTATGGTTCTATTTTCTCAATATATTAACTTGGAAAAAAATTTTAGCCTTATCTCAATCTGTCCCAACAGCAATGTGACGGAGTTTGCAGATTCAGAATCTGCAGTGGTATTTATGAGTCAGTCTACTGAGTTCCTTTTTTAAAGAATCTTTTGAAGCTAAGAAAATGTGTCAAATTGTGTGCATTCTGTAGGTAAAATTCTTAAGGATTGCCATGTCTTTCAGTTTTACAGTGCGCTGTTGTACGCTGGATCAATGAAAGGAAATTAAAGGTACCTTTTACATATTGTAAAAGTGGATGCAGTTGATTTGTGAATAGGCACTATTGAATCCATTACCTGGCACTAGCAACATTAGAATTTTAAAATGGGGAAAGAAGGTGGGTCATGTATTAATCAGTGAACAGAGATTTACCTGACCAACAGACTTGTACTCTTTTGACGTGATCGAAATGCAACACATGCACTTTGTGTGTCTCCTCTTAAGGGAGGGTTGAGGGATGTTTTCTCTTCCTATCTTGTGTATAATTCTATATTGTCTAGGATATTAAAGTAGAACACTCAAGTGTGGGTTTGTGTTATTGAGGATTTTTTTGGAACTCAAATTCTGTTATATACTGGACATTACAGACTTAACAGCATAGTGAATGGTAAGAATAGTGCAAAACATTTATTTCGGAAAATTAAAGACCATTACTGTTATCAAATCAATGTGACTATTTCATGTGCATTTTGCCTTCGTTAATTTTAAACAGTGTCATTAGTGATCAGGTAGCTACCTTCTACTTTTCATTTTTCAAGTGGATTGTTCTCTTAATTTGTATATAACCTATTGTCTAAATTTTATGTACAGTCTTTTATAATAAACCATTCTCCTATATGAAATTTTGGATACTGTTAAATATAACTCGTGGACTTCAATGCAGACTTCACATTTTTCTGACCTTTATTCCTATAGTAAATCAAGACAAACCATTGAATTTATCATTTATTATTTGTGTAATGGCCTTACATGTGGATATTAACAGTGTAAACAATACCACATATAAGCATCAAGATACCTCGATTAGAATTTATAGGACTAGAATGACAGATTCAGATGGTTTAATTACATTTAAAAAGTTTTCTGAAAAAACTTTTGCAATAAAAAAAATAAATTGCCCATCATCAATAAGTGGTATCTTTTAAAATGATTTTTGGTTATCTGCACATGAAGCAAACAGTGTATTCCATAAAATTCTTTAGGCACAGTCTGGTAAGATAGCTGCCAGAAAGAACAGAAAGAGCTGTCATTTATCTCTTGTGAGTACAATTTCTGAAAGTTGAATGAGAGCATCTCTTTCTGGGGATGGTCGAAGTTTACTGATCTCTCTTACTGCTTCATGGCAGTACTGCTGGGCGAGGTAGGTTGTTTGTTGCACACCATCACTCTACGAGATACAGAACAAAACAGATGCCTGTCACCGACTGAATTCCTGCTATAATAAATTAACACAGTTTTGAGATCAGATGGACTGAGGGTTACAGTTAACAGTCAAACTACATCTCTACTGTTCATTGCCTGACTCATTTAGCATAGCTTTTTTTCCTCATATAGAAGCAAATTTTTATTCTATTAGCATGCGAAGCACCTAGCTCATCAATATTACATAGTCATCCATTTCCCCCTAATTTTTAATTATTAGAGTTTCTTAAAAGTTCTACACATACAAAATATATTTATACAAAATTTTTAAATGTAAAAAAAGGTAAAATTTAAAGAACAAAGACAAAATGAAAGTACAGAGGGTTTATGATGAAAATCAAGTTCCTTTCTTCCAAAGGCACTCACTTTATCCATTAGTTTTTTTTTTTTTTGAGACAGGGTCTCACTCTGTCACCCAAGCTGGAGTGCAGTGGTGTGATCTCGGCTCACCGCAACCTCCACCTCCCGGGTTCAAGAGATTCTCCTGCCTCAGCCTCCCGAGTAGCTGAGACTACAGGTGCGTGCCACCACGCCTGGCTAATTTTTGTATTTTTAGTAGAGGCTAAAATGTTGGCCAGGCTGGTCTCAAACTCTTGACCTCATGATCTCCACCTTCTTCAACCTCCCAAAGTGCTGGGATTACAGGGGTAAAGCCAATTTCTTAACAAGTTTAGTTATTATCTGTTACCTTTTTGTTAAGATGAGGATTTAGCCCATCCATACTGTGCTTCCTAATTTGATCACTACACTGCTGTCTTTATTTTGTTGAAGACTTCTGTTAGGTAGTGTCAACCTCTGATTTTATCTTGTATACCAGTGCTCCTGTCCTTCCTCTAACCATACCGTTAAGCTAGACAGACATTCTATTCTGTAACCATGTTTTAAAATGTTGGTTCTAAAAGCCAAATACTAATAAGTATCATTTCTATGGTGTAAAAATATTTACTGCAGAATCAAGTCATATAATTATATTTCCTTCTCCATGGCTCATGATCCCTCTGTCATTTCTTTTTAATATGTTTTTATTGAGACAGAGTATCTTGCCCAGGCTGGAGTGCAGTGGCATGATCCTGGCTCACTGCAACCTCCGCTTCCCGAGTTCAAGGGATTCTTGTGCCTCAGCCTCCCAAGTAGCTGGGATTACAGGCATGTGCTACCATGCCCTGCTAATGCTTGGCTTTTTAGTAGAGATGGGGTTTCACCATGTTGGCCAGGCTGGTCTCAAACCCCTGACCTCAAGTGATCCACCTTGGCCTCCTAAAGGGCTGAGGCGTGAGCCTCTGCACCTGGCCCCCTCTGTCATTTAGAATAAAATAGTCCTAACACTGAGGTTGAAAGACCTCCGATTTTCTATACTAGTTGCTTAAAACATGACACTTTAGTCTGCTGTCCCTTTTTGTACAGAAGCCTGCCTTCTCAGTGTTTTCCACACATTTTGCTGAAGTACATCTGCAAATACCTACCCAGAAGTGTTCATGGAAAGTCAACTTTTTAGTCCTGATGTGTGCTTTCTTTTGCCTTCAGATTTAATGGATCCTAGCTTTAAAATGTTTGATCCTCATTTGGAAGACTTTGCTCCACCTGCCTTCTAGCATCCAGTACTTTTGCCATTCACTGAGCCAGTTTTGACACCTTTTCCTTGCAGAGGACAACTTTTTTTTTTCTTCCTGAAGTTACATGATGGTACCGGTTGGTCCTCTCAGCTCTTATTTTTCACTTTTCCCCCTTTCTGTTGTATACTTGGGGAGATTTCCTCAATTTCACATTGCAGCCTTTTGGAGTTTGTTCCTCAGTCAATTTCAATTTCTTAGAGCTTGCTCTTACTCATTTAACAAGTATGATCTGACTTGTTTTGTGAATGCGGTATCTTTTTGGATCCTCTTATTTATGTTTTTCCTAAGTTTTTTTTTTTTTGTTATTTTGGTCCCATTCTTTTGTTCAGCAAGCTTTAGTCAACTCTTTTGTAATCTTGAGTTGTCTATTCACATTTAATGAGGGAATAGGGACTAGAAGCTCTGTGGGTGAACAGGGAGCTAGAATTTTGGAGAACATGTTTAGAGAACATTCCCGTGGATTTTTTTTTTCTCTAAATGCATTTCTGGCTGGGACTGCCGGAACTCTGCTATTTTCCATTGGTGCTACAATTAATTTCCCGCTTTTCAGTTCCACTTCTCACTCCAGCCTTCAATAATATACTATTTCTGAAGCCAGAGCCTCTCCCAGGGATACTGACTTCTTTATCAGCTGTAGCTCACTCCCATAGTTTTAACAGTACTTTCAAACCATTCCCCAAAAACAGCAGTAACACAAATCACAAGGCTTAACAGTACAGTCAGTTAAGAGAGAAAAATAACCTGTTAGGGGCTAGAGGTTGCTTTTTAAAATCTTTTAAAAGTCTGACAGGTAATTATTTGGAATCTTTCAAGGACCGTACTAAGTATAGATCTCACACCATAGTTGCTTTGTAACAATTGTTTGCTCCCTCCATCTCATCCAGTAGATCTGCTGGCTGCAAATGACAGCGAACTTGGAAATGGCTCATTCTCAAAAGAGTCAGTCACCAAAACTCAAGTCATGCAAAGAGATCTGGCTTCCACAGAAAAGTTCTGAAGATACGTGGCATATATTTGAAACTAGCCACTAGCCCCTGAACAGGGTTAAACCATTCTTCCTTTAGAAGAAAATCATTTGTATAAATGGATATTTATTTGCCTAGGTTGGTTTATCGTTTTAGAATCATCATTTAGTAGCACTTTTATAACAGTCACATAGGATGGACTGGGAAAGCCCAATTATGAGTAGACTATTGCAGCAGCCCAGCAGCAGTACAGATGGGGACACGGATGAGGCTGGAGCCAAGGCTGGGTGACTGGCGGCCCAGTGATTCTGTTGAAGACACAGAGGCTGGCTCCACACCACTGGGCTTCAACCCTAACAGTTCACCAGAATCACTTAGCTACCTTACATTAACGTCTGAGCCTTACCCAAGACCAGTTAAAATCTTTCATAAGCAGTCTAGAAGAGAAATGAAAATTGATAAAAAATCAGAAAACTGAGTTTTCCTTCACTTTTTTTCATATCAAGAGTTGACCAGTCTTATATCTGTAATTTAGTTTTTAGTTTAAATGTAACGTTTTTGGATTAAAGGACTTTGTCATGTTGTTCCTGCTGCTGACTTGCTTTTCAAAATAGTCTTACCTGTAATACATACTGTCTCGCTCTGTCCACGTCTCCCGGCAAACTGAACCGTCTCATGATCATAGCATTCATTTCTGGGAACTAACCAAAAAGAAAATTTATTTATTTATCTTGGGAGAAACAACTGTTCTAACACTAGTTTGTAACAATAGGAAATAACAACAAAAATTCAATTAAATGTCTCGATGATGTAGGGGAGAAATGCTAAGAGACATCCGGTCTATGCTTAGGCACTGCGGTAAGTGTACAGGAGACATTAGTCCTTGTTTATTCTGATGTTTTATCCTAGCCCAACATTGAGTAAGAGGCAGGAGGAATAAAGTACATATCTAAAACAACATGGTTCTGGCTGGACATGGTGGCTCACTCCTGTAATCCCAGGACTTTAGGAGGCTGAGGCAGGTGGATCACCTCAGGTCAGGAGTTTGAGACCAGCCTGCTAACATGGTGAAACCCCATTTCTATTAAAAATACAAAAACTTAGCTGGGTGTGGTGGCACGCGCCTATAATCCTAGCTACTCAGGAGGTTGAGGCAGGAGAATCACTTGAACCCGGGAGGTGGAGGTTGTAGTGAGCCGAGATTGCGCCATTATACTCCAGCTTGGGCAACAAGTGAAACTCCACCTCAAAACAAAACCCAACATGGTTCTTAAACTTTAGATCGTATCATTCCTAATGCCCGTACTGCCTGTGGGGCCTCCCTCAGTTTCTGATTTAGTAGGGTCGGAGCCTAGGCATGCAGTTTTAACAGATTCCCAGGTGACACTGTATCTCTGATCTCTGCCAACATTTTGAGAGCCACTGGCCTAGGATGAGGATGGGAATTGGGCATTCTACTCTAAGTACTAAATTGAGGGCCAACTGAAAGCTACTGAGTTTTCTGAGCTGAGAGCTTTATGTGCAGAGCTCTGCCTTAGCAGTGTGTAGAGTGGATTTGAGCAGTGGTGCATAACACTGACTGCATTCTGGGATCAGCTCGGGAGATTTTTCTTTTCTCCTGAGACGGAGCCTTGCTGTCACCCAGGCTGGAGTGCAGTGGCACAATCTCAGCTTACTGCAACCTCAGCCTCCCTAGTAGCTGGGACTACAGATGCATGCCACCATGCCAGGCTAATTTTGTATTTTTAGTAGAGAGAGGGTTTTGCCATGTTGGCCAGGCTGGTCTCAAACTCCTGACCTCAGGTGATCTGCCCACCTCAGCCTCCGAAAGTTCTGGGATTACGGGTGTGAGCCAGTGCACCTGACCTGGGGAGGTTTAAATACAGTTGCCTAGATCCTCTTCCCAGAGATTTTGGTTATATTGGCTTGGGGGTTAGCCTGGCACCAGGACTTTCAACCCCCTCCCGCCCACCCTGGTATTTTTAATGTGCAGCCAAGGTTGAGAACTATGGAATTAAGAGTCATGTAGATGGAACAAACAGGTTACTGTAGTAGGTTATAAAAAAAGGCCTGAAATAAGCTGACAGCAAGAACAGGAAAAAAAAAAATAGGTAAAAAAAATTGAAGTCTATACTCTATAATACTTAGGAACTATTTAGAACTGTCAGCATCAACAGAATTCAAAAGCCAGCACACCAAATCCTTCACTTCCTAGATCCGAGCTCTAGTCTTGGTTTGGTCACCAGCTGCCACAGCTGAGTGACTTCCTTAGTCCCTGGGGTCTTAGGCTTCTCATCTCCATGACCTCGCCCTTGAGCTCTAAGATGTCAGTGTTTGGTCTTGGCCACGTCAGTGCTTACAGCAGCTGCCAGGTTTTCCCTGGCAGTGAACCTGAAGGATGAAATAAGTTGTCTTGTAACCATGACCAAGGTATTAGTAATCCCAGAAGAAAAAATAGGGCATACATAGAAAAGCCTCAGGCAAATGATCACAGACAAAGAAAGAATGTTTTTTTCAGACCAAAATGTGTGTCAGAACAAAGCTCTAAATATGTAGAGACTGCTAACATCCTTACAGAATTTATAGAGCCAGCAACTGGTTAGTTCTTATGAAAACCAGTAATGTCCTTTAGTTACTGGTTTTTTAAGAAGAAAACAAGCTACTAGAAAGAAATCAGGGAAGTCTCAATCAACTTTTTTAGTAAAAAAGCCAAATCAATTAGGTTTTAGTTTTATTTTTTGAGAGTTGTTCTGTTGCCCAGGCTTGAGTGCAGTGGTGCAATCATTAGCTCACTGCAGCCTTAAACTCGTAGGTACAAGTGATTCTCCCACCTCGGCCTCCCAAGTAGCTGGGACTACAGGCATGCACCTGACTAATTTGTAAATTTTTTATAGACATGGGGTCTTGCCTAGTTGCCTAGGCTGGTGTCAAACTCCTGGCCTCAAGTGATCCTCTTGCCTGGGCCTCCCAGAGTGCTGGGATTTTGGGCATGGGCCACCACACACAGCCTGTTTTTAACACCACACACCAATACTGGATATCTAGAAGGTTTTATCGTTAACACCAATGTGATCCTCTCCTAGACATCTGGTGACATTACCTTGTTTATGATGTATAAGCTTTTTCTACAGTACCAGCAAGTGTAGGAAGATGTGCTGATTGGTGGTTTTCTCTGATGCTTTTACTATAAAAAGCATTGAGAAAGCAAAATTTGAAAAAATATTTGCATTGAGTGACTACATCCTTCCTTCCAAACATGTCGTGTGTGCAATTTTAATATGCAAATATCAAACTCTTCCCAGGCACTCCCCAGGCCCCTTAATGTGTATGTGGAAAAGAAAAGAAACACAGCAGGAGGAATAGTTGCCTGCAGATTTAGTGAGAAATAAAAATTGTTTGCTCAGGTGCTGCTTTTAAGAGTAGGAAAACCACCTGTGGATAAATCATGTTGTGTGAAATCCATCCATAAACTAGACCGCCAAGGTGATCCATAAATAACTTTACCCAAACAAAACTTGGGTAACCAACTAGTCACCATGATAGCATAAGGCCTGTGCAGCTGGTGCAGGGGCTGGTGATGGCATTTGGAAACGTGGCTACAGCCTGACATTTAGGTCTAGTGACTTATCAAATAAGGAAGAGAAACAGAAGAAAGGAAAGAGTTTCTTTAAAGAGATTTGAAAGGCAATATAGTCTCACCAGAGAAAAGAAAACACCTCCATGTTGTTTCTGAAGCTTTCAAATATCCAATTAACATGGAGTTTTTGTTCTTAAAATATGTACACATATTTACAAATTATGTGCATGGAAAGACACTGTCATCCTTTCATCCCTGGGACTTCTCCAGAAATCCCCAAAACTCTTAAATCCTCTGAACCAACTATTATCAGGAAATCCTTAAGAGAGATGTTAAAAATACAGGAATTCCAAAGAGAGGGAGTCTGTCAGGTGCTGGGTGGAGCAAACTCCAAAACAACCTGCCACGGCAAGTTAAAAAGGAAACGGTGGTTTCCCCAGAATGCTTGTCCTGGTCTAGTATGCACAAAGGGAAAAGTGCAAAGACTATCTCATCAGCAAACAAAACTCACCCACCAAAGGGAAAGGATTCCAGACATCTCAGAACTACTACACTAAGTAGGTATGTTGTTCACAATAAAGAAGATATGACACAGAGATGATGCTGGGAGTATCAGCAGTGCCTGGGGGAGTTAGTGACCTGCTCTGTGGGAAGGCCTGTTAGGTGTCATAGCTACTGACTTCTCAGCATTACCAGTGGCAATAACACTATGTAAGATACAAGAAATGAATACTGGTCTTAGACTTGTTCAGTTCCCTGCTGTGCCATTTACCAGATGTTTAATTTTGGCAAGGTTTGAGCATCAGTTTCTTATTTGTAGGATAGCCACCATCGTATCTACCACAAAGAGGAGTTGTGAGATTAGAGATAATGTATGAAAGGATCCTTTGTAAACTAAAAACACATTTTCATTAAGTGGAGAAACTGCACATTCTTATGTTATTTTTGGAACTTGTTTTTACCCAGAATTAATTTTAGTCCCATAAATCTTTGGACACATTTCTTGCTAAGAATCTCGTTTGACTGTATTCCACAACAGAGCTGAACCTTGCTGTTTTATTAGAATACACCTTACAAATACGTATTTGGCTAACTGCTGGCCCATGTGTCACAAGAGAGAAACATCAGTCTACTTTTGAAATGAGTCCTGTCCAGAGTCGCTTCCTGCTTGGACTCATTCTGTGTTCCCTTTTCTGAGGCTGCAACGTGCCTTCTTTTAAACTCACTGCCTTATGAGCAGATGAGAACACTGCTGTCTGGTGAGCATGAGTAGGCGCCTCATGACTGGGATTTCCCAGTGAAGCACACAAATTGTAGCTTGGGGCACAGTAATCTTTGTTTCTTCCTTTTTTTTTTTAAACCCAGCATTTTTCAATCTCTTGTAGATTACCGACAGATACTATATAGGAAAGTAATGTTTGCAGTTGAATAGGTGGTAGCCAACGACTCATTTTTGTAATCCCCAGCATAACATCTACACGGCCTAAATGTTCCTCCCTCATTCATGCCTTAATGTACAAAAGGGGGTTTTATAAATTTTTGTTAAAAGTGGGCACATGTACTATGCTCCTTGATTTTGGGCTGGCAAGTAAGTCTCATTGGGAGAAAGGACCTATGTATGGCATACCTTTCACTTCTTCCCTCAGCCTCCAGAGTTTGAGAGGATGGAAGCCTTGTAATAACGAGGGCAGGTGTTCCTACAAAGCATCTTAACATCTCCATTCATAGCCCTTATTCCTACAGTCACCGCTGTCCACTAGCAAGTCACCAAAGTAGCCTGGCCCAGCCACTAGGACATTGGCCTCCCCTGGTAAGAATCATGCTGCCAATGGCTGTGCTAGATAGTGAGTGAAAGATAACCTTTCTTCTCCAATCAGAAACCCACCAAAAGCAAGGGGGTTTCTGTATCACAGTGGAATCACTGATTTCTATGGAGGACATGACTGACCTTTGTAAATGTGAAGACAGAATAGAAGCAAAATCTCTGAAAGACCAAAAGTTACTATAATTTTAGACCAAAGAGCTAATGTTAAATTTCATGGCACAATGATGAACATGTTACTGCTTTGCTACATAACAAATTAAATACTACCGAGATGAAAATCTATTAACAAGATGTCCCAACACCAGCTAATGTCTCACTTATTTCAAGTAACATTCAGTACAGCCAAAGCCATGTGGGCAGCATCTGGAGGAGGCTGTGAGGATGTCTGCTTTGTCAGTCACGGGAACATCTTTGAAGCTTCCTAAGCCTTTCATTCACATTAAAGGGGGACATGAGGGCAGCTGTACCGACTTCCATACTTCCCAGTCCCTTAATCTGGAGGAAGGAGGAACTCTGGGTCTGCTACACTTCACTGAATTCTTCAAATTTGAGGCAATGGCCTAACTTCTAAGGCCTCTCTCTCACAGCAGCATAATCTCATTACACTTCTAGAACAGGAGAACTTCTTTTTTTTTTTTTTTTTTTTGAGACGGAGTTTCGCTCTTGTTACCCAGGCTGGAGTGCAATGGCGCGATCTCGGCTCACCACAACCTCCGCCTCCTGGGTTCAGGCAATTCTCCTGCCTCAGCCTCCTGAGTAGCTGGGATTACAGGCACGCGCTACCATGCCCAGCTAATTTTTTGTATTTTTAGTAGAGATGGGGTTTCACCATGTTGACCAGGATGGTCTCAATCTGTTGACCTTGTGATCCACCCTCCTTGGCCTCCCAAAGTGCTGGGATTACAGGCTTGAGCCACCGCACCTGGCCGAACTGGAGAATTTCTTATGCCCTTGATGCTTACTGTGCCTTTTTAAGGGGCTCTGAGGACCACCAAAGTCCAGTCCTGTAATCAAGATGTGGAAACCATTCACCTTGCTAGTGCCCAAGATATATGGAAATAATCAAGATGCTACCTCAAATGCCTACAGCACACCACAAGACACAGAGACCGTAAATAGGATCTCAGCTAAACCTCACAATCACCCTGGGAGGAAGGTGGCCATCTTTTCAATTTTACAGATGGGGAAATGGGCTTAGCAAGGTGAAATTACTAGCCCCAACATCACACTCAGAGCCAGGATTAAATGCAGACCTGCGATCTCTAATCTGAATGCCATCCCATCCGCTGTGCCACGGGACATCAGTTCTGTGGGGCTATCCAGTGACACATCAAAGGGAGTTTGTAAAACCTACAAAACCTACCTGCTGACAGGCGAACAGGACAGGACCAGTGGCTAACCCAAGCTTCAGATCAGCTGACGTTGGTTTGCCCATCTGGTCAGAACATGAGGTGAAGTCCAGTACATCATCTATTAGCTGGCAAAAGGAAAAATGGGATATAAGGAGCACCACCATGCCAACATCGCTGCCATCATTCTTACTGTTTTCACAATTACACACTAGGGGAGAATGTTGACTGTATCACTATACCACCATTCTTATTTAAAAAAGCACACTAACCTGAAAAGCTATTCCTATATTCTTCCCGTACTGATAGGCGATCTCATGCACCACTGGGTCAGGGCATCCTAGAACAGAGACCTGAAACAGAAAGAGCATTCTGAGATAAGCTGCTTCCAGGCAGCAACAAAGCAGCCGATGCCTGGACGAAGAAATCATGTGTGTCTGCCTTTAAATAGGAAGTAGTGGGGCTGGATTATGCACATTCAGGAGACACTGACATCAGGACACCAAGTATGTACAGAATCACGTTTCCAATCAAAGAATTTCAGTCTCAGAGTGTGTTGTTAAATTCTAAGAAAATTATCGTTCCACAGCCCCTACCTCCAGACAGTATAAGCAGCTTTTCCCACTGCTTAGGAAAAACTGAGCTACAATTGGACTAGTTCTGCCGGTAATATGCTAAGTAAACCCTACTGACATGCAAAAGAAACAGACCCCAATCTGTGAAATACTGACTTCTAGCCCTCAGCAAACCGCCCAATTACTACTGCTGGCTTTAGTAATCTGCCAATTTATCCCTCATTTCAGGAATAGATAGTAATCACACACGATGCTGCCACACATTTCCCCATCTGTAGTCCTTTCATCTTTGGTAATTTCACCTGTTCCTGAATGCAGTTTTCTTAGTACGTCCATAAAAAGTCTCAACCCTCCTGATTCGGACACAGACATCATTCTTTTATTATCAGAAGGAACTTCACTGGCCCCACAGTTTCCCCATTTCTCTCAAAAGAAGTAACTGTATAAAAACCCTTTTCCCTCCTTTCAATGGGGGAGAAATAGAACTTCTGAAAGTCTTTTTAAAACTCCAAAAAGCTAGCTGGCTCCAGCTGCTGAAGTACATTTCCCAGTGCCCTGCTAGGCATGTTAAGTAGGCCCAGCCACATTTTCAGAAAACAAAGCCTGGGTAAAACCAACAGGGGGAGGGGAGAGACGGTCTGTGTTCTGCTGGAGAGGAAGTGTCTCTGTTGACGCTCCGTGAGAAAGCCAGCTGGCGCGCTGCACAGTTGTCTGTCAGGCTGGTGGATGCCAGGAAACCCTGTCCCCTGACCTTTGGTGCTGCCTCTGTGCCTCTCCAGTCAGTGAAGCACTTTGCTCAGGGGTCAGTGTGGTACAGTGCTGCAGGCTCTGCAGTGAGACTGTGGGGCTGCATTCGTGCCCCTTACATGTACCATGTGACCTTGGCGTGTTACTGAATCTCTCTTGGCTTCAGTTTCCTCATCTGTACGATGTAGAAATCACAAGCACTTACCTTGTGGGGTTGCTGTGAGAAACAGATGTGATGCTGCATTGAAGCCCTCAGTACAGTGCCTGCCACCTGGTTAGAATGTGATGTACGTTTGCTATTATCATTATCATCTCTTTTTAGAAATAGGGCCTCACTCAGTTGCCCAGGCTGGGGTGCAGTGGTGCAATCACAGCTCACTCTAACACTGAACTCCAGGCTCAAGGGTTCTTTCCGCCTCAGTCTCCTGAGTAGCTGGGACCACAAGCACGCACTACCACACCTACCTAATTTTTAATTTTTTTGTAGAGATGGAGTCTCACATGTTGTCTAGCTGGCTTCAAACTCTTGGGCTTATGATCCTCCCATCTCCGCCTCTCACAGTGTTGGGATTACCAGGCCATGAGCCACCGCACCCGGCTGTTTGCCATTATTCTGAATAATCCTCCTCCTCCACTGGAACCAGAAACAAGAGCATTGGCAGTGTCCATGCACCTCTGCCAACTAAAGCCAGATCACATCATGTCCGCAGCCTGAGAATGCTTTTCGACAACGTAATGAAGTCTGTTGACTATGTAGTGCTTGGCCAGAAGTACATGATAAAATCGCACCATAAAAGGTCAGGTGGACACTGACTAGAGTGAACAACACGCTCATAACTGCTTTCAACAGCAAACACCTTCCCACAAGCAGTTGATATCCATCAACTTGGCCAAAAGGGGAGCACGGGCAGCCTGGGATGTGCTGAGCTCAGAATAGAATGATACTGGGGTCCAGATACTCCTAGGTAGAAGTAACTGATAGTGAAGCAATCTCCTGTAGTGAGATTAATACTGTTTCCTCAACCCAAAGCCACAGATAGTATAAACTTTCTTCCTGAAAAGTCAAAGATTTTCTAAAAATTTTATTTTATTTTTTGGAGACAGAGCCTTACTCTGTCACCCATGCTGGAGTGCAGTGGCACAATGTGGGCTCACTGCAATCGCCACCTCCCTGGTTCAAGCAATTCTCCTGCCTCAGCTTCCATATGCCACCACATCCATACACCCAGCTAATTGTATTTTTAGTAGAGATGGGGTTTTACCATGTTGGCCAGGCTGATTTCCAATTCCTGACCCCAGGTGATCTACTTGCCTCGGCCTCCCAAAGTGCTAGGATTACAGGTGTGAGCCACCACACCCTGGCCTAAAAATCTATTTCTAAACATCTTAATGGATTCAAATGTGTGGAGCACATTTGTATGATTTGAGCTAAACCTCACAATATCCCACAAATACGGATTATGTGGCTGGTGATGATAAAAGCTAACAATTCCTGAGCACCCACTATGTGCCAGGCACTGTCTACAAGTTCTCCCATTTTAAGTCACTTACGAGGTTCAAGAAACTGAGGCACAGAGGGTACCATGCATTACATAGCTCCGAAATGCTGGAACCTGAATTTCATCCCAGAGAGTCTGGCTTCAGACACTGTTCTCTTCATCACTTAGCTGTGCTGCGTCTATGCTGCGTAATGAAACGGAAGCTCCAAGAGGTCAAGGAATGTGTCCAAGTAAGCACAAAGCTGCAGTCTGCCTGCACCGGCCCCTCCGTGTCCACACGTGCCGACACAGAAAGAGCTTACTCAGTGGGCAGCCAGCTTCTGCCTGACATATGGCGAAGGACATTACTGCTAAGATTTCAACTACCCCAGATTTGTGTGGGGTAGCATAAACACCATGCCAGAGAGTCCTGCTTTCCCATTCCAGGTCAGGACTGCCTGGATCTGTGGCAGGAAAACAGAAAACTGCCACAAGTTAGACGCAAGACAGCACAACATACAAGAAGGCAAAGAGGTGCATGGGCCTGCACTCAGCATCAGAGATAACTCATCTTTCTGGGAGTGGGTGGAGCATGAAGATGATTAAGTCTAAGAAAGTGGAGCTCGACTGACTGTTCTGTTAGAAGCAGATGCTGCAGCCGGGCTGTGTTGTGCATATGCACTTCTTTCTGGGGAAGGTTCCCAACTCGCATCACATTCTCACAAGCCTTGTCTCAACAAAACTGGAAAGGGCTGGGCGTGGTGGCTCACACCTGTAATCTCAGCACTTTGGGAGGCCGAGGCGGGTGGATCAGGTCAGGAGTTTGAAACCAGCCTGACCAATATGGTGAAATCCCATCTCTACTGCAAATACAAAAATTAGCCAGGTGAAGTGCTGTGTGCCTGTAGTCCCAGGAGGTGGAGGTTGCAGTGAGCCAAGAGTGCACCGCTGCACTCCAGCCTGGGCGACAGAGCGAGACTCCGTCAAAAACAGAAACAACAACAAAACTCCCACAAGCTCAGCATTCCAATAATGGATCACTAGGCATAAATGGATTAATATATTCCAAAGAATAACATGACCATACTGATATGTAGAGAAAGGTAACTTTTGAACAGCGCTTTGATTATATGATCCTCAGGCCCAAGACAAAAGGAACGATAGACAAATACTGAACTCCAGCTACTAGGTTTGTTTTTCACAGACATATTAGTCACAAATTTGGAAATTCTTAAGGTATATTTTTGGATTGTGCAAATACACCGTGGAGAATGGGAGCCAGGTCTCTCACTGTTGGGGAAGGGAGTTACAAATATGGAAAGATGGAATCCTGGAATAAACCACAAATCCAGTGGTGTTAGATGGATTTGGAACTATCTGTTTGATACCTCATGGTTTTGAATAAATATGGATGGAGAAAGATATACACCTATCTACCTACATATAATACATACATGTATTTCCTAGCTCTGTCCATTGAATGGGCCTAGAAACAGTGACACCCACTCAAATTTTGGTTTGTTAACACCATTTTCCACCAAAAGGAAAGTGGGCTCCTTGGAAAAAAGTGAATACCAGGTCTGAGAAGTACAAGATGACCCTGGAATATCTCCTGCCAAAAATGGAGTGCTGAAAGAATGGTGGAGACACAGGAGCCAGGCTAAAGGGCCTCCCCCATTAGCCAAATACTGGATAATTGGGTATTAAAGTAAATGACAGTATTACAATCTACAGAATAAAATAGGATGGCTGGACATGGTGACTCACGCCTATAATCCCAGCATTTTGGGAGGCCAAGGTGAGCGGATCACTTGAGGTGAGAGTTTGAGACCAGCCTGGGCAACATGGTGAAACCCCATCTCTAGTAAAAATACAAAAAGTCATCTGGGTGTGGTGGCGGGCACCTGCAATCCCAGCTACTCGGGAGGCTGAGGTGAGAGAATCACCTGAGCCCAGGAGGTGGAGGTTGCAGTGAGCTGAGATTGTGCCACTGTACTCCAGCCTGGGCGACAGAGCAATACCCTGTCTCAAACAAAACAAAACAAAACGGAATAAAATAAAAATCCAAGAGCCCATACAGTTAAGAGCTTCCTTATAATGGCATACCAACTCTTCACCTCTTTTGAGAATGAAATTAAAAAAAAATAAATAGAACACCATCTCTCTTGTGAAAGAGTGATATAGATGATGGAATTAGAAAAACAGCCATTCGACAACCGTCAGAATAGTATTTACACGATCTGAAAATACTTCACCCAAAATAGGTTAAAATAGTAATTTTAGAATGAAGAAACCTGGCAGACGGTATACTTTTTTTTTTTTGAGATGGAGTTTCACTCTTGTTGCCCAGACTGGAGTGCAATGGCACAATCTTGGCTCACTGCAACCTCTGCCTCTCAGGTTCAAGTGATTCTCCTGTCTCAGCCTCCTGAGTAGCTGGGATTACAGGCATTCGCCACCACACCAGGCTAATTTTTGTATTTTTAGTAGAGATGGAGTTTCACCATGTTGGCCAGGCTGGTCTCGAACTCCTGACCTCAGGTGATCTGCCCACCTTGGCCTACCAAAGTGCTGGGATAACAGGCATGAGCCACCGCGCCCAGCCCAACAGTATCCTAATCAAGTGATCCCGGCACGTATCACCAGTAATGGGACAGACAGACAACATGTGCCTCCTGGCATGAGGAGCTGAGGACAGCATCGCTCTTGTGGTATTCTTGTCAAACATTCATAACTTGGATGGAATCTTGTGAAATATCAGAAAAGCCTGACCGAGAGGCTCAGCAACGTAACTGGCCTGCATTCTTCAAACTACCGAGGTAATGAGAGACAAAGAAAGATTGTTCTAGATAACAAGAGACCACAGTCATGCCAACTAAACGCAACATGAGATCCTGGACTGGATGCTGCAACAGAAAATTGTTCTCCCTTTTGTTATAACAGTATGAGGAAAGCTGGCAAGATCTGAATGAGACCTACAGATAGATACAAATATTGCAAAAAAAAAAAAAAAAGGCTGGGTGTGGCATGTAGTGGTGTGCACCTGTAATCACAGCTACTCAGGAGGCTGAAATGGGAGAATCACTTGAACTTGGGAGGAGGAGGTTGCAGGAAGCTGAGATTGCACCACTACACTCTAGCCTGGGTGACAGGGCAAGACTCCATCTCAAAAGGATTATGCTGGAAACCATCATTCTCAGCAGACTGAAACAAGAACAGAAAACCAAACACCACATGTTCTCACTCATAAGTGGCCGTTGAACAATGAGAGCACATGGACACAGGGAGGGGAACATCACACATCAGGGCCTGTTGGGGTGCGGGAGAGCTAGGGGAGGGATAGCAGGGGGTGGGGGGATTGGGGAGGGATAACATTAGGAGAAATACCTAATGTAGGTGACAGGGGGATGGATGCAGCAAACCAACATGGCATGTGTATACCCATGTAACAATCCTGCACGATCTGCAGAGGTACCCCAGAACTTAAAGTATAATAATAATTAAAAAAAAACACAGTAATTTGAAAGATACAAAGAATAAATTAACAGAGAGATTACCAAGAACAGAAAAAAAGCAAAGAGTGTTCTGCTAATGTGACCCACAAGACGCAATTCTGTAGTGGCACTCTGGGGCTTTGAAAATCAAGTAATTAGGAAGAGAGTGCATTAATATCAGGCCACAAGAAGCACTGGAGAGACTAGAAATTCAGGGGGGGGGAAAAAAAAAGGAAAAACAAGGCATGATTATCATACCCAGCTCTGGGTTCAAGGCTCGGCTCAGCTACTATCTGACTGAACAACAATGGACACGCCCCTGACCCCTCAGGGCTCATTCCTACCAGATTTTCTGGGTAACAAGCCAGAGTCTACATTGGTAAGCTACAAAATGTATTTTGCATGATCACATATGCAAATAAATAACTCATCTTTTGACAGTAACATGAATTCTGTTTTTTGTTTTTATTTTTGTTTTGAGGGAGAGTCTCGCTCTGTTGCTTAGGCTGAAGTGCAGTAGAGTGATCTCAGCTCACTGCAACCTCCACCTCCTGGGTTCAAGTGATTCTCCTGGCTCAGCTTCCCAACAAGTAGCTGGGACTGCAGGCGTGCATCATCATGCCCAGCTAATTTTGGTATTTTTAGTAGAGATGGGGTTTTGCCATGTTGGCCAGGCTGGTCTCGAACTCCTGACCTCAAGTGATCCGCCTGCCTCGGCCTCCTAAAGTTCTGGGATTATAGGTGTGAGTGACTGAGCCTGGCCTAAAATGAACTCTATTTTAATATCAGTCAATCCCAAAACAATCCCCCTAGACAGCCCTCTCTTAGAGATTTTAATATTATTTTCACTAAAAATGTGGTAGAGGGACGGGAGATGAAGAAATGGTATCCTTAGTAGAAGGCAACTTGTAAGTTTCCTTCCAATTCTCAATACATTTTGCAATTCCATTAGTTCTTCTGTAATAATTCTGCCCTTTCAATTCTCCTCCTCCCCACTTTTTGATGCGTCTAATTTGCTTTGCATGCATTTCTTTGGAGCTCGCATGGCTTTGCATTTTAAATACCAACAGTACATAAAAATAGCCATTTTGAATCCATAACACCTCTGGAACGTTGCCACCCATAGGCACTTTAAATATAGAAACTTTTATTCGAATAGCTCACGCTATGATTTTGCTTTATTATTCTAAGAGCTCTGGAGTTTAGGAATAATCACATGAAAAGGGGGTAGTGCTGGGATGATGCCAGCATGCCCCCTAGTGGGCAGCATGAAATATTTCATTTTTAATACAGGTCCAGCCACGTTAACATGTCCACTGTTCAGCTACTAATCTTTGAAGAATGAGGTGCATCTCTTTATAAAAGAATACCTGTGTTCATAAGCGGAGAACAATAACCACAAGGAAACCTCTCTGTCATGATTCGGGTCCATTTCTTTGGACCCTTTGTAAGATTCCATTACTGAGTGAATTTCTGTGCTGGCTCCAATTTCGTCCTGCCCCTCTGTGCCTGCGGGATGTCTGCTTGGTGCAGACAGAGTCTCACTACCGGCTAATGCTTCTAAGGCTTTATTTTTTAAATAATATTTTTAAGTAGCGATGGGGATCTTGCTATGCTGCCCAGGTTGGTCTTGAACTCCTGGTCTCAAGCAAACCTCCTGCCTCAGTCTCCCTAAATGCTGGGATTACAGGTGTGAGCCACCTCGCCTGGCCATACTAATGCTTCTAAGTTTGCAGTCTCAAATTTGTGAAATTATCAATGAGCTTCACTTAACACATCCTCTTAAGGATAAATATTAATAAGTAATATTAAGGCACCCTAATGTGTTAAGAGGATGGATCCTGACCTTCAGGGAGATTTGGGCCATCAAGGGCATGGCATACCTAAAGGATTACTGTAAAAGTGTTAAGAGCACCCATTTAAAACAGGCTATACTCTTATTTAGCATCTCATATGTATATTTTCTTCCATCTCACTTAAAAAAGAACCATGTAATTTCTTGGAAATAAAAATATAATAGCCCTTTTAATAAAAAGACAAAAGCAGTCGAGACTGTGGCCGGTGTGTTCTACATAATTCACATTCCTTAAACTTTCCATCAGGTCCTTTTAGGAAGAAAAGTTTGTCCTCATTTTTTTTTTTTGGCTTGCTATTATACATTTCTCGACACTTTCAAAACAGAGACACTAACACAAGTGACTTCTTCACCTGAGAGTTGAGCAAAAACTCTCTTTACCTGTTAATTATGTTAGGAGTTTATCATGACAGCAATTTAAATGTGACCTTTAGAGGTTTTCCTTATTTGTGGCTGTAATTACATGGGAATATCATTTGTTAGAGGCAGAATGCTTGTTCTCAGGTGTTGTAAGGAAAAAATAGCATTTTTCCTTTCTGCACCCTTTGTGCAGAAAGTAAAATTGCCTTGCTGAGAAAACTTTTTGTCTGAATGCTAATTTTTCCTTGTGACACCTGAGAATAAGCATTCTGTCTCTAACATCCTTTGTCCAGCTTTTATCTCTGTGTATTTGTCAGGCTTAGAGATAGGCAGATGAACAATTCTATGGAGAGAATGTTTCTCATTCTTGGACTAACAATGAATACCAAACATTGGTCTACAAATTAAAAGTATTACTTACTCAAAGAAAAATGTATACATGTGTATGCAAAGTGGAGGGAAGGCAGGGAGAAAGCCAGGAGAAAAACAGTTATGGCTTATACTCAACTTATACTCTGAAGAAATAGGAATTGTTTATATTTCGTGTAAAAATATTAGAAGGCTTGGCCATGTGAGGTGGCTCACGCCTGTAATCCAAGCACTTTGGGAGGTCAAGGTGGGCAGATCACTTGAGGCCAGTTCGAGACCAAGCCAGCCAACATAGCAAAACCCCATGCCTAAGAAAAATACAAAAATTGGTTGTGATGGTGCATACCTGTGGTGTGAGCTACTCAGCAACCTGAGGTAGGAGAATCACCTGAACCCGGGGAGGAGGAGGTTGCAGTGAGCGGAGATCACACCACTGCACTGTAGCCTAGGCCACACAGCAAGACTCTGCCTCAAAAAAAAAAAAAAGAAAAAAGAAGAAGTATATAGAATGCTAGTACAATCTAAGAGATTTTTTTCCTGGGTAAATATACACGTGTGTGTGTGTGTGTGTGTGTGTGTGTATACATATATATATACATACATTTTTTTAAGACAGAGTCTCACTCTGTCACCAGACTGGAGTGCAGTGGCACGATCTTGGCTCACTGCAACCTCCGCCTCCTGGGTTCAGGCAATTCTCCTGCCTCAGCCTCCCAAGTAGTTGGGAGTACAGGCGCCTGCCACCACCCCCAGCTAATTTTTGTATTTTTAGTAGAGACGGGGTTTCACCATGTTGGCCAGGATGGTCTCGATCTCTTGACTTCATGATCCACCCGCCTCAGCCTCCCAAAGTGCTGGGATTACAGGTGTGAGCCACCGCGCCTGGCCCTGAGTAAATATATTTAAGAACAGAGTACTTCATTTTTAAAAGGTGAAGTGTCAGAAACAGTGTGTGTGACAACAATCATTAGAGAAATTATAATAAATTGTTCAAAATGATACACAGTTTGGCAATTAGATTGGGGAAGGTGTGGGAAGGCTTATTTTGATTCGGTTCTTGGGAAGAAAAGATGGAAAGTCAACACCTGCATACCAAAGGAAGATGCTAAAAATGAAAACACAGCAAAAGTCCTCCATCGTTTGGGGATGTCATTCTTTTCCTCATTAACCTCTTGGGATTTTGGGGTACTATTTTATGATTCTTCACTGAAATATTTTCTAGGAGAATTAGCTCCCAAAAAGAGCATGAGGCTTTAACTTGAAGAAAGACAGAACGTACATACTGCTTTACAACTGTTGGCTATCAGGCTGGCGGTCTTCTTAAAGGTCTTTTCAAGGTAGTGTGCAAATCTTTCATTCTCATTTTCTTTTGACCCAAGCTGAAGAAATTCACCTGTAAAGAAGGAAAGGGGTCATTCAAGAGGTGGTTTTTATTGCCTGGCTAAACACCAGGATTGAATAACAAAGAAGAAAAATGAGAAGCAACATACCACGCACCAAATCTTCAATAACTTGGGTTAAAATAGATATAACAGTTGTATTTCCAATTCGTGCCAGAGCTATAGATGCTGCAGAAAGAATTAAATCTCCAGCAAGAACAGCCTAGAAAAAGACAGGGGGAAAACACAATGTTCAAAAAAAGTATCAGAGCAATAGAGCCAAAGATGAAACTGACTGGAAGGGATCTTCGTGGAAGGGGGGCTCATCTTGGATGCAGGTTTTTCTTTTTTTAACCTTCCTCTTCCTCAGCAGGAGTCTAACAATCAGTTACAGATTTGGGACAGTGTTTGAACTAGACTGGCTCTCAGAGATGACTCTGTCACTTTCCAGTTTGTAATAATCGGTTACAGATTTGGAACAGTGTTTGAACTAGACTGGCTCTCGGAGATGACCATGTCCATCTCCCCAGCTGACAGCTGAAGAACTCAATGCCTGGAGAGGGAGGGCAGCTTCCCCTCACAAGCTTCACCTGCCAGCCGCACCAGAATGCAGCTACCTTCAGTTTTGCCACACTGGATGTTCACTCTTCCCTTGTGCCTTTCCACTTACTGGTCCTTCTGCTCAAAAAGTTCTGCCCCCTTCTTCACTGAGTGGACTTATTTGCATAATGAGGTCAGATGCCACCTCCAGGAAGTCCCTCCACCCACCCCGATCCCTCAGTCTGGTCAGATGCCTTCCTTTTGTGTGAGTACAACACCCGTGCACACCGTGACCATCACACCTTCATACAGTCAGGGATGCTCTAGTCTCTAAGCTCCCAGGGCAGTGGGAACGGTGGGGTGGAGAGGGAGCTTGGACTAGGAATCATCTCAGCTAGTACTGAGCACACTCCAGAGCATGGCACGATACGTGTTATTTTCAATGAAAACTAAACCAAGGAATTTTGGCTCAAAGTGAAATGCTTTTTGTACCATATGACACTGCCCCTCATTCCTAGGCAAAAAGAATTTTTTTCCACTGAACACTAATCAACATTTTTCCAATCTTCTTCGGATTGTGATGGACATCTACACTGTATTAGCAACTAGTTACAAATTACTGCATAAATAGTTGAATTATATGCTATAATCAAACTATATATCATATTTATTTGCATATTTAAAGATACATGTTACTTTTTTTTTTTTGAGACAGAGTCTTGCTCTGTTGCCCAGGCTGGAGTGCAGTGGCACAATCTCAGCTCACTGCAGCCTCTGCCCGGTTCAGGCGATCCTCCCACCTCAGCCTCTTGAGTAGCTGGGACTACAGGCATGCACCACCATGCCCAGTAATTTTTATATTTTTACTAGCGATGGGGTTTCACTATGTTGGCCAGGTCTCGAACTCCTGGCCTCAAGTGATCCAACTGCCTTGGCCTCCCAAAGTGCTATGACTACAGGCATGAGCCACCACGCCTGGCCATTAAGTGTTACAGTCTATAGTAATTAGTCATAAAGGCTAGAGGTCACAGAATTTTTAACTTAACTATTTTAGATACTTATCGTCTTAGTTCTTCAGTATCTAGAACATTGATGGTAAAAGTGTGTTTACCAATTCATCACCACTTTATATAATAATGTAAGATACCCTGATGTAAGTACATGCTCACAAAGTCATTTTACAAATTATGATACATAGGTACACATTTACATTCCCCCACCCAACCTGTCCATCATTAGCAGCTCAGGGCTCAGGATCCATTGGCCTTTATCTTTTTTCTTCTCCAGGCCGGGGGTATCCTAGAGGCCAAAAGGTCCAGCATATGACACGGACTGTGGAAGGCCAGGGGTGGGAGTTAAAGGAAGGAAGTGCTAGGAAGTCCAGACTAGGCCTAACAAGGGCTCACCAAGAGGGCACTGTGTGTGTGTGTGACCCACAACTGGTAACATCGCAGTTATGGGTCAGGGAGGAACCTGGCAGGTAGCCCTGGGCTGAGCAGATGGCTGTCAGAGCTGGAAGAGGCAGGTGAGGATGGCACACGTGTCCTTGACCTGCTCTCAAAAAGAGGCCCCCAACGGCGTAGGCAGACACATGGCGGGGCTAGCCAAGGAGAAGACCTTCATTTGTCCTCTTGATCCTCCTCCCCCACCCAAGGCTCCAAATAAGGCTTTAGGACTGGCCCTGCCTGAAAACAGACACAGCTGATTGCAGGGATGGGTCACAGAGCTACCCATGCCCTCTCCAAACCAAAATGCCATCCGCTTTTTTGGCTAACTCTCTGAGGTATACAGTTCAGTCAACAGGACATAAAACCTTTTAGTGTAAAATTTGAAATAAAAGGCAGAGAAATGAAATTGCAGGACTTGATTTCAAAACAAAGTCATTTATGGTCAAATAAAATCAGCACGTGAAGATAGTGATGAACATATATAATTATTTTTTTAGTGAGGAGAATTAAATAGGAAGGAACCAGGGATACTATAAATCTGTGAGAGAGGAGGTGAGGGTGGGGCAGTTATATTTGCACAAAGTTGTGGGTTTTTTTTGTTTTTTTAAAAAAAAGCCTCATTCTGATGTCCAGGCTGGAATGCAGTGGTATGATCTTAGCTCACTGCAATTTCCCCTCGGATTCAAGCAATTCTCCTGCCTAAGCCTCCTGAGTAGCTGGGGTTACAGGCACACGCCATCACACCTGGCTAATTTTTATGTTTTTTTCAGTAGAGACAGGGTTTCACCCTGTTGGCCAGGCTGGTCTCGAACTCCTGGCCTCCAGTCATCTATCTACCTCAGCCTCCCAAAGCGTTGGGTTATAGACGTGAGCCACTATGCCTGGCTAATTTTTGTCTTTTTAGTAGAGACAGGGTTTCACCCTGTTGGCCTGGCTGGTCTTAAACTCCTGACCTCAGGTGATCCACCCGCCTCGGCCTCCCACAGTGCTGGGATCACAGGCGTGAGCCACGGCGCCGGCCCGCACAAACCTTTGTTTGCTCTTCAGTGGAGGCACATGTGTGGTGACGGTGACAGACGCCTGCTCTCAAAGGCCTGTGCATTTTTATTCTCATTTGTTCAACCCTATTCTCATCCTTCAACCCGGGATCTCTGCATCCTCAAACCAAACTCCCTGCTTCCCATGTTCCCCGTGCTAGCAATACAGAAATATGCTTTAATATGTACATATATGAACCAACCCAATTACAGAACTTCCATTTCAAAAGATAAAATTTTCATGGTAGCACAGTACCTCTCTGACATTTCCTTTTTTTTTTTTTGCTTTGACATTTACATGAAGCACTCAATTAAACAAATTTTAAAAAATTAAACTGAAACTGAATCTGGGTAATGTGAGCCCAAAACTAAAATGTATGATTCCTTAAGAAATACACTTTCGGAGACCCATGAAAATCCCTTTCCTTATGACCAAAGGAATTCTATTAGAAATACGAAGTTTAAGTAATAGAAAAGGCCAAAGAAAAATATTTATCTCTACATAGATAAGACACGAATACTTTTTTGAAATTTGGAAGACCACATTACATTTGAGCAAGTATATTTTACTTATTAATGAGACAAAGCTGAAAAACAACTGTGGTCCAAAAAGCATGTGATTCCCAAGAGGTTTTAAAAAACCAGAAAGACGTACCTTCTTTTCACCCCAGATCTTATTAACTGTGTGTTTTCCTCTTCGAGAACTTGCATCGTCAATAACGTCATCATGAACGAGACTAGCAGTGTGGATCATTTCTGCAATTAAGGCTATGGTGCGCTGGCTGGCTTGCACATGTCTAATTAACAGAAAGCAATGCTTTTTAACAGACGTCGCCTAGAACCTTCTCAGCAATCAGCTTGTGAAAACTGGACATCGGATCTAGGATAAAGAATGTTATTTCTCTAAGAGAAACTGCATAAAAACTCTGGCTTCATGACAGAGCCGTTTCTATCATTTGAAGAACATTTTACAAACGCATGAGAAACCCTGCCACGACATTTTATGAATTCCACATTAAAGAAGTAGAAATTGTACAATTAACCCAAAAAAAGGTAAAGGTAAATGATCGAAGTCTGGCTGATCTTATTGGGCTGAAGAATCATCTTTATAGCAATGCTCTTGGTCAGATGTTAAGTTTACAAGTTTATAAATTTTGGGATGCATAGGGAAGTGAGAAGCATTTTTTTTTTTTTTTGAGACATAGTTTTGCTCTTGTTGCCCAGGCTGGAGTGCAATGGCCTGATCTAGGCTCACTACAGCCTCCACCTCCTGGATTCAAGAGATTCTCCTGCCGCAGCCTCTCAAGTAGCTGGGATTACAGGCATGCACCACCATGCCCAGTTAATTTTGTATTTTTAGTAGAGACAGGGTTTCTCCATGTTGGTCAGGCTGGTCTCAAACTCCCAACCTCAGGTGATCCGCCAGCCTCCCAAAGTGCTGGGATTGCAGGTGTGAGCCACCTTGCCTGGTCAGAAGCACTTTTTTAAAAAAAGTGTTTTAAAGACTCAACTGTCTCAATGTTCAAAGCTTTTAATACTGCCTTTTTTGTTTTTTTTTTTTTAAAACAGGGTCTCACTCTGTTGCCCAGGCTGGAGTGCAGTGGTACAACATTGGCTCATTGCAACCTCTGCCTCCAAGGTTCAAGTGATTCTCCCATCTCAGCCTCCCTGAGTATCTGGGCTACTGGCACACATCATCACATCTGGCTAATTTTTGTATTTTTAGTAAAGATGGGGTTTCACCATGTTGGCCAGGCTGGTCTTGAACTCCTGGCATCAAGTGATCCACCCACCTCGGCCTCCCAAAGTGCTGGGATTACAGGCGTGAGATACCGCGCCCCATGTAATAGTGTCTTAAATTAAATATTTAGTATGACAATCTCTGTAACCAACAGAGGATGTTTGTAAAACTTTCTTCCAACCCACGTTTAACCTTCTCATTAGAAATTTAAACTTTTATTTCCCAAGTTTAACATAAACTATAGGGTAAGTAGGCTCAAAAAGATAGTAGTACACATAGGTGAATTTTACAGTTAAGAGGCAATGTCCCCCATTTCATTTTAATAATTATCACCACCATCATCGATGGGAATTTTAAAAAACTAAATTTCAAGTAAATCAAACTGGGGAAATAACCATTTGGAACCTATGCCTGATTTAAACAGACCAGATGTTGCACTTATTCCAAATGCTTATTTTCAAATATCAGGTTATATCTTAGAGGGGAAAAAAAGGAGAGGGATTCTGAAATATGACTTTTTCATTAAGAATCGAATCTGAACATCTGCACAAGGTGGTGCTCACTCCAAATCCTCAGACCCGGCAGAAAGCAATGAAAAATGAAGTATAACTATATAAAAGGTGCTGGAATTTAACTATCGACACTAAATCAGCATGAGAAAAGCTTTTCATCTAGCTTTACATATAATAAAATATGATGCCATGCTGGCTCCTCCTACCAACAGCCTTAGAACTAAACTCTAGACTCTTCCAACTGCTTTCAGGCTAGAAATCATGTCTACAGTGCTACTCATTCTTTTTGTGTGTGTATGTGAGACTGAGTTTTGCTCTTGTCGCCTAGGCTGGAGTGCAATGGTGCCACCTTGGCTCACTGCAACCTCCGCTTCCTGGGTTCAAGTGATTCTCCAGCCTTAGCCTACCAAGTAGCTTGGATTAAAGGTGCATGCCACCACACCCAGCTAGTTTTTATATTTTTAGTAGAGATGGGGTTTCACCATGTTAGCCAGGCTGGTCTTGAACTCCTGATGTCAGGTGATCCACCCGCCTCGGCTTCCCAAACTGCTGGGATTACAGCATGAGCCACCTCGTCCAGCCACAACTTAATATTTCCAGATCAACAGAGATTCTTCCATGGGGATGTAGCAAAACAAAAGCAATGGAGGGTAGGAACAAATTAGCATATAAAAACCACTTCAGTAGTCTGAGCACAGTTACAGGCTCTCGCCTGTAATCCCAGCACTTTGGGAGGCAGAAACAGGCAGATCACTTGAGGTCAGGAGTTTGGGACCAGCCTGGCCAACATGGCAAAACTCTGTCTCTACTTAAAATATAAAAATTAGCCAGGCGTGGTGATGTGCATCTGTAGTCCCAGCTACTCTAGAGGCTGAGGGAGGAGAATCGCTTGAACCCAGGCGGTGAAGGTTGCAGTGAGCCGAGACTGCGTCACTGTACTACAGCCTGGGTGACAGAGACTCCATCTCAAAAAAAAAAAAAAAAAAAAAAAAAAGAACAAAAAACCCAAAACCACATCAGTAAATGAGAAAAGAGAGACTCAGATGCCTTTTAAGAGTTTGCTCTGAATCCCTCAGCAGATTCAGTTTTTCTAATAGAATACTGAATTATTTTTCAGGTAAATTTACCACGCCCTATCTTCTTTGAGTAGAATGCTTGAGAAAAGACGTAGATTTCCAGTTTTTTTTTTTAATATAAAGGCGATTTTTTAGAATATTTTTGCAAGTGAATTTCAGTCTAATAAAATACACACCTCCTACTAGTTAGTAGCAGATCTTACCTTAAAACAACTGGTAAGGTCTAGCCTTTCTCATGCATTCATAAGTTAGGCACCACTTCATTATCATACATTACATCAGCAGATGGGCTCCTGCTGAGAAGTTGCAATGAAACTGGCAGCGCTCACCAAGACACTAGATTTTTGTTTGTAATCTGAAGCTACTATGATAACAAAGATTTCTTAAAATATTTTGAAATTTCATAGACTCCTATATCTGTATCTAAACATGTCATTTTGTGCCTGGTGTGGAGGCTCGTGCCTGTAATCCCAGAACTTTGGGAGGCCGAGGCTGGTGGATCACTTGAGGTCAGGAGTTCGAGACCAGCTTGGCCAACATGGGAAAACCCCGTCTCTACTAAAAACACAAAAATTAGCCAGGCATGGTAGCAGGTGCTTCTAATCGCAGCTATTCAGGAGGCTGAGTCTGGGAGATGGAGGTTGCAGTGAGCTGAGACTCAACCACTGCACTGTAGCCTGTGGGACAGAGCAAGACTCTGTCTCCCAAAATAAATAAAATAAAAATGTCATTTCACATGGCTACATTGTTGACTGATGAAATCAGGATGAAACTGGAACGTTATTTGGCACTGCCACACAGCCTCTACATAGAATATGCATTGTGTTTCTGAGGCTCCATAATTTTACCTTATTTTGGTGCACAGGGAAGATATGTGTTTTTTACAGTTCAGCTTCAGTGTGTCAGCTTATATCTGGAAAATGCTGCCACTGCTTACCTGTAACATGAGGATGGGACAGATGACCGAAATGCACAGACTACAGAAAAACCTCACACTGTCTTTAAGCTGACATCTCCAAAATGCCAAACTGAATCCTGCCTTCAAATAGTGGTCACAGTTTCCCAGGATCTGGGAGAGGTGACAGGCAAGGTAGCATGGAAAACGAGGCCCTTGGCCATGAGAGCTGGCTGTGTCCTCTGTACTCCACACCTGCCAGAGTATGCTAAGAATCAGCATGCCTCTCAAAACTTTTCTTTCCACTGTCATTACATTAACCCAAAATTATTTTGTTTGAGATGGAGTCTCGCTCTGTCACCCAGGCTAGAGTGCAGGGGTGCGATCTTGGCTCACTGTAACATCTGCCTCCCAGATTTTAGTGATTCTTCTGCCTCAGCCTCCCAAGTAGCTAGGATTATAGGAGTGTGCCACCTGTAATTAGCTGTGCTACCATGCCCAGCTAATTTTTGTATTTTTAGTAGAGACGGGGTTTTGCCATGTTGGCCAGGCTGGTCTCAAACTCCTGACCTCAAGTGATCCACATGCTTTGGCCTCTCAGAGTGCTGGGATTACAGGCATGAGCCACTGCACCTGGCCAAAAAAATTTTTTTTTTAATAATAAAGAATTTCAGCCTGGGCACGGTGGCTCACACCTGTAATCCCAGCATTTTAGGAGGCCAAGATGAGTGGATCACCTGAGGTCAGGAGTTCTAGACCAGCCTGACCAACATGGAGAAACCCAGTCTCTAGTTTCAAACACACATAAAAATAGATGGAATAATATAATGACCCTACCTGTGAATCCTTTATGAGTTTTACATATGGTTTTACAAAATATATTTTCCCTATTCATACGAATATAAAATGTGAGGTCTTAAATTGCAAGTAAACCCCCAGTGTGTAGGAAGGAATCCCTATCAAAGGCGCTTCCAGTCTAAGGAATGGAGAGAGTGCAGGGTTAGCCTGTGAGCTCCAGCTTCCGGGCCATCCTCCCCAGCCACTGCTCACTCACCTTCTAAACCTAAAGAGACACATCAGGCTCACAGTAAAATCTGTCTCTCTTTAGTGGGAATTTTTTTTTAACTGGATCATAATAGTCATAGACTTGTTAGCATTTTAATGTCAAGAGAACATAACTGATATCTAAAAGCAGCAGCGCCTGAATATTTTCAAATTTAGTTGTGGATATAATGGATGTCTGCCAAGTTGCATCATAAATGGTGCAGGGTTCACGCTATTGCTTATTTGCTGGCCACTGAAGCAGCACTCCAGGAGCTTCTGAATCTTGGGATAAGTGGAGAGAGGCTGCTGTGACAAAACCTGGATCTGCAACTTACACAGGTTGCTCTGTGCAGAGCTTTCTCCGCAGGGTGCAGGGTACTACGTACTATCGCGGCATTCAGTTCCTTCAAATGGAGCATGGGTAAGGAAAGTGTAGGAGGGACCGGGCCACGATGGAATTCCAGCACTTTGGGAGACTGAGACTGGTGGATCACTTGAGGTCGGGAGTTCGAGACCAGGCTGGCCAATA